CCTCACCTGTCTGTTACACACACGCACGCTCCCTCCTCACCTGTCTGTTACACACACGCACTCTCCTCCTCACCTGTCTGTTACACACGCACGCTCCCTCCTCACCTGTCTGTTACACACACGCACCTCCCTCCTCACCTGTCTGTTACACACACGCACGCTCCCTCCTCACCTGTCTGTTACACACACGCACGCTTCCTCCTCACCTGTCTGTTACACACACGCACGCTCCTCCTCACCTGTCAGTTACACACACGCACGCTCCCTCCTCACCTGTCTGTTACACACACGCACGCTCCCTCCTCACCTGTCCATCACACACACGCACGCTCCCTCCTCACCTGTCCCGTCACACACACGCACGCTCCCTCCTCACCTGTCCCGTCACACACGCACGCTCCCTCCTCACCTGTCTGTTACACACGCACACTCCCTCCTCACCTGTCCATCACACGCACGCTTCCTCCTCACCTGTCCATCACACACACGCACGCTCCCTCCTCACCTGTCTGTTACACACACGCACGCTCCTCCTCACCTGTCCACACACACGCACGCTCCCTCCTCACCTGTCCCGTCACACACGCACGCTCCCTCCTCACCTGTCCATCACACGCACGCTTCCTCCTCACCTGTCCATCACACACACGCACGCTCCCTCCTCACCTGTCTGTTACACACACGCACGCTTCCTCCTCACCTGTCCATCACACACACGCACGCTTCCTCCTCACCTGTCTGTTACACACGCACGCTCCCTCCTCACCTGTCTGTTACACACACGCACGCTTCCTCCTCACCTGTCTGTTACACACACGCACGCTTCCTCCTCACCTGTCCATCACACACACGCACGCTTCCTCCTCACCTGTCTGTTACACACGCACGCTCCCTCCTCACCTGTCTGTTACACACACGCACGCTCCCTCCTCACCTGTCTGTTACACACACGCACGCTTCCTCCTCACCTGTCCATCACACACACGCACGCTCCCTCCTCACCTGTCCCGTCACACACACGCACGCTCCCTCCTCACCTGTCCCGTCACACACGCACGCTCCCTCCTCACCTGTCTGTTACACACGCACACTCCCTCCTCACCTGTCCATCACACACACGCTTCCTCCTCACCTGTCTGTTACACACGCACGCTCCCTCCTCACCTGTCTGTTACACACGCACGCTCCCTCCTCACCTGTCTGTTACACACGCACGCTCCCTCCTCACCTGTCTGTTACACACGCACACTCCCTCCTCACCTGTCCATCACACACACGCTCCCTCCTCACCTGTCTGTTACACACGCACGCTCCCTCCTCACCTGTCCATCACACACACGCTTCCTCCTCACCTGTCTGTTACACACGCACGCTCCCTCCTCACCTGTCCATCACACACACGCACGCTTCCTCCTCACCTGTCTGTTACACACGCACGCTCCCTCCTCACCTGTCCGTCACACACACGCACGCTCCCTCCTCACCTGTCCGTCACACACACGCACGCTCCCTCCTCACCTGTCCGTCACACACACGCACGCTCCCTCCTCACCTGTCCGTCACACACACGCACGCTCCCTCCTCACCTGTCCGTCACACACACGCACGCTCCCTCCTCACCTGTCTGTCACACACACGCACGCTCCCTCCTCACCTGTCTGTTACACACGCACGCTCCCTCCTCACCTGTCCATCACACACACGCACGCTCCCTCCTCACCTGTCCGTCACACACACGCACGCTCCCTCCTCACCTGTCTGTTACACACACGCACGCTTCCTCCTCACCTGTCTGTTACACACGCACGCTCCCTCCTCACCTGTCTGTTACACACACGCACGCTTCCTCCTCACCTGTCCATCACACACACGCACGCTTCCTCCTCACCTGTCTGTTACACACGCACGCTCCCTCCTCACCTGTCTGTTACACACACGCACGCTTCCTCCTCACCTGTCTGTTACACACACGCACGCTCCCTCCTCACCTGTCTGTTACACACACGCACGCTTCCTCCTCACCTGTCTGTTACACACACGCACGCTTCCTCCTCACCTGTCTGTTACACACACGCACGCTCCCTCCTCACCTGTCTGTTACACACACGCACGCTCCCTCCTCACCTGTCCATCACACACACGCACGCTCCCTCCTCACCTGTCCCGTCACACACACGCACGCTCCCTCCTCACCTGTCCCGTCACACACGCACGCTCCCTCCTCACCTGTCTGTTACACACGCACACTCCCTCCTCACCTGTCCATCACACGCACGCTTCCTCCTCACCTGTCCATCACACACACGCACGCTCCCTCCTCACCTCTGTTACACACACGCACGCTTCCTCCTCACCTGTCCATCACACACACGCACGCTTCCTCCTCACCTGTCTGTTACACACGCACGCTCCCTCCTCACCTGTCTGTTACACACACGCACGCTTCCTCCTCACCTGTCTGTTACACACACGCACGCTTCCTCCTCACCTGTCCATCACACACACGCACGCTTCCTCCTCACCTGTCTGTTACACACGCACGCTCCCTCCTCACCTGTCTGTTACACACACGCACGCTCCCTCCTCACCTGTCTGTTACACACACGCACGCTTCCTCCTCACCTGTCCATCACACACACGCACGCTCCCTCCTCACCTGTCCCGTCACACACGCACGCTCCCTCCTCACCTGTCCCGTCACACACGCACGCTCCCTCCTCACCTGTCTGTTACACACGCACACTCCCTCCTCACCTGTCCATCACACACACGCTTCCTCCTCACCTGTCTGTTACACACGCACGCTCCCTCCTCACCTGTCTGTTACACACGCACGCTCCCTCCTCACCTGTCTGTTACACACGCACGCTCCCTCCTCACCTGTCTGTTACACACGCACGCTCCCTCCTCACCTGTCTGTTACACACGCACGCTCCCTCCTCACCTGTCTGTTACACACGCACACTCCCTCCTCACCTGTCCATCACACACACGCTCCCTCCTCACCTGTCTGTTACACACGCACGCTCCCTCCTCACCTGTCCATCACACACACGCTCCCTCCTCACCTGTCTGTTACACACACACGCTTCCTCCTCACCTGTCTGTTACACACGCACGCTCCCTCCTCACCTGTCCATCACACACACGCTTCCTCCTCACCTGTCTGTTACACACGCACGCTCCCTCCTCACCTGTCCGTCAGACACGCACGCAGGCCCACATGCTAACGTTAGCATCTAGCCGGCTAGTTAACCGGTTAACCTCTGCGGTGTCACCGCGGTCACATGCGTCACTCCATCCGTCAAATATATATACTGACGTCACGTCTTGTTTGACGTTGCTGGCTGTCAGCTCACCTGAAGCGCGACTGTTAGCCGAGCTGCTAACCAACTACCTGGCTGTCAGTTAGCCGCTCGGCTAACAGTCGCATGTCAGTTTCACGTGAAAGGACACGCACGTGAAGCTAACTGTGCTAACGTGCACAACAAGCTCACCGAGGCTACAAGCTAAACTAAGCTACACCGAGCTAACCGCTGCTACAGGCTAACGTCAGCTCTGATCTGTTAGCATGTTAGCATCAGGCTGCTGGCCGGGTTAGCCTGGCTGTAACCCGGGTTAACCGGGTAATGTGCGCGTGACAGTGAGTTCACCTCATAGCTCAGTAACACCGGCAGCTCCGCTCTGCTGAAACACGTGAGGCCGCGGAGAGTGCGGGTTCACCGGGGAAGCAGTCAGCGGTCAGCCGGTTCATTCCTCCACACAGCCCGCAGACGCCATCCTCAACTACCCGGCATGCAACTGTAGGAGCTGGGGGAGAGTCCCGCAGCGCCACCTGCCTGCTGCTCCAACATCCTCCACCTTCTTCTTCTCTGGTGTATCTGCCCCCCCCCCCCCGCTGTAGCATAAACATCAGAACAGGGCGTCTGCAGTTTGTGTAAGAATGTAGAAGTTCAGCAAATACACAAAGGAAATAGACCAGAGCAGCATGAGAGCAGCATGAGAGCAGCATGAGAGCAGCATGAGAGCAGAGTACAGTTCCAGATTTACACTCAGATAAATCTACACAAAGTGGTGACGATTAATCCAACAAGGTCCATGCAGAGACAGAGAACTCAACACAGCTGAGAACAGAAGTGACCTACATTTATACTGCGAGCAGGGCGGGAGGTGACACACCTGACAGGACCCAAAACCCAGAACAGAGCAGGCAGACTGGAGCAGGATCCAAAGGCCCCGGGCCCTGCAGCAGACTAGAACAAGATCCAAAGGCCCCGGGCCCTGCAGCAGACTAGAACAAGATCCAAAGGCCCCGGGCCCTGCAGCAGACTAGAACAAGATCCAACAGTCAGCGGAGGCCCCGGGCCCTGCAGCAGACTAGAACAAGATCCAAAGGCCCCGGGCCCTGCAGCAGACTAGAACAAGATCCAACAGTCAGCGGAGGCCCCGGGCCCTGCAGCAGACTAGAACAAGATCCAACAGTCAGCGGAGGCCCCGGGCCCTGCAGCAGACTAGAACAAGATCCAACAGTCAGCGGAGGCCCCGGGCCCTGCAGCAGACTAGAACAAGATCCAACAGTCAGCGGAGGCCCCGGGCCCTGCAGCAGACTAGAACAAGATCCAAAGGCCCCGGGCCCTGCAGCAGACTAGAACAAGATCCAACAGTCAGCGGAGGCCCCGGGCCCTGCAGCAGACTAGAACAAGATCCAAAGGCCCCGGGCCCTGCAGCAGACTAGAACAAGATCCAACAGTCAGTGGAGGCCCCGGGCCCTGCAGCAGACTAGAACAAGATCCAAAGGCCCCGGGCCCTGCAGCAGACTAGAACAAGATCCAACAGTCAGCGGAGGCCCCGGGCCCTGCAGCAGACTAGAACAAGATCCAAAGGCCCCGGGCCCTGCAGCAGACTAGAACAAGATCCAAAGGCCCCGGGCCCTGCAGCAGACTAGAATAAGATCCAAAGGCCCCGGGCCCTGCAGCAGACTAGAATAAGATCCAAAGGCCCCGGGCCCTGCAGCAGACTAGAACAAGATCCAAAGGCCCCGGGCCCTGCAGCAGACTAGAACAAGATCCAACAGTCAGCGGAGGCCCCGGGCCCTGCAGCAGACTAGAACAAGATCCAACAGTCAGCGGAGGCCCCGGGCCCTGCAGCAGACTAGAACAAGATCCAACAGTCAGCGGAGGCCCCGGGCCCTGCAGCAGACTAGAACAAGATCCAAAGGCCCCGGGCCCTGCAGCAGACTAGAACAAGATCCAACAGTCAGCGGAGGCCCCGGGCCCTGCAGCAGACTAGAACAAGATCCAAAGGCCCCGGGCCCTGCAGCAGACTAGAACAAGATCCAACAGTCAGTGGAGGCCCCGGGCCCTGCAGCAGACTAGAACAAGATCCAAAGGCCCCGGGCCCTGCAGCAGACTAGAACAAGATCCAACAGTCAGCGGAGGCCCCGGGCCCTGCAGCAGACTAGATCAAGATCCAACAGTCAGCGGAGGCCCCGGGCCCTGCAGCAGACTAGAACAAGATCCAACAGTCAGCGGAGGCCCCGGGCCCTGCAGCAGACTAGAACAAGATCCAACAGTCAGCGGAGGCCCCGGGCCCTGCAGCAGACTAGAACAAGATCCAAAGGCCCCGGGCCCTGCAGCAGACTAGAACAAGATCCAACAGTCAGCGGAGGCCCCGGGCCCTGCAGCAGACTAGAACAAGATCCAAAGGCCCCCGGGCCCTGCAGCAGACTAGAACAAGATCCAAAGGCCCCGGGCCCTGCAGCAGACTAGAACAAGATCCAAAGGCCCCCGGGCCCTGCAGCAGCAGAGGGGGGTTAGGAGTCCTGGAGGCGTACAGGTCCAGAAGAGAAGGAAGATTTCAGCCAATCAGCTTCTCTGCAGAGCGAACGATGCGCTGCAGCCTGCCCTTGTCCCTGGCAGTGGCAGCAGCGTACCAGATGGTGATGGAGGAGGTGAGGATGGACTCAATGATGGCGGTGTAGAAGTGCACCATCTTTGTCTTTGGCAGGCTGAACTTCTTCAGCTGCAGCAGGAAGTACATCCTCTGCTGGGCCTTCTTGGTGAGGGAGGTGATGTTCAGCTCCCACTTGAGGTCCTGGGAGATGATGGTGCCCAGGAAGCGGAAGGAGTCCACGGTGGTGACAGGGGAGTCACAGGATGATGGGGGAGGGTGGAGCTGGGCTCTTCCTGAAGTACCATCTCGACGGTCTTCTGAGCGTTGAGCTCCAGACTGTTCTGGCTGCAGTTACAAAGTCAGATGTTTAAACACAAAACATGTGAAGAGTTAATAAAATCTGACTCAGCCGACAGGATTATTAAACTGATGAACAGTTTGGTGGTTGAAAACATTTTTCTTGTAAAAACATTTGAAGATTTGCTGCTTTTCCTTTCAAACATTTTATTTATTTATAAAAATGTTTTGTGCTGCTGGTTAGACAAAAGAAAGCGTTGTGAAGGCGTCACTTTGGGCTCTTCATGGTTGGGGCCTTTTCACCGCCTGGTGGTGTGGCGAGCGCTTGACAGCACTTCATAGCGTGTTTTTGCGTTTTCGTGTAGACCCCGTGTCCGTGTGGACTAGGCCTGAACAGCTGAACGACTTCAGCAGCATTTACACTAATGAGCAGGAAGAAGTCATACCGAGTACTTTTACTACATTCACTTTTACTTCAGTCACATTTTCAGTGCAGGACTTTTACTTGTAACAGAGTACTTTTACTTTAATAAAGGATCAGAATACTACATCGCACAGCCTGTTTCTAATGACTCTGTTTAATCACTAGGAAAGTAGAAATTTAAATATTCTGCTTCTGGAGTAATATTTATCTGTACTCTTACCGAAGTACAGGATCTGTGTACTCAGTTCCTGTTTCCTCCTGGGGGGGGGCAGTGATGCGCCCGGTGGACTCACCGTAGAAGAAGAAGAGGCTCCAGTAAAGATGGCGGCTCCGTGTGATTACGGAACAGAAGCATTGAACTTGACTCGTGTTTAGAGGCTGTTCGTGCGGCTGTCTGCCGGAGTGAGGATGGCTCACCGCTACCTGCGGCTGGCAGCCGGCTGCAGGAGCTGGTTCCGGCGGCTGCCGCCCTCCGGCGCCCCGACCAGGCTGGTAGGTGGACAAGCTAGCATGCTAACGGTGCTAACACCGGGACAGCGGCCAGAACGAGCCCGAGCACTGAGCCCTCTGACCCCGCTGACGGGTCCGCGCTGTCCCGCTGAACCACGGGCCGGCTGCGGTGTGTTCAGTGACCTGTGTCAGGGCAGGTAAATGTACCTGTGTGCCGCCTCAGGACGGCTGTAAGTGTGTCCCGTTATGGATGATAAAATATACCTGCCGCAGGTAAACAACACACGTTGATCACTGACTCCGAATTAAAGACTTAAAAAGCGTCTGGTGATGGTTTTACACTAAATATAATGTCTGAAGCTTAACATGTGGACGCGAGATGTACACTGTCACGCTGTGTCACTACTGGACACTGATTGGCTCCACGCTAGTTGTGACGTCACAGCAGGTGTTACAGTAAAAGGTGAGCTCAGAGGTCACCCTGCGGGTGAAGCACGGAGAAGCAGGAGGCCATGTTTTAATCTCAGGATTTACAATAAATGAAAGCTGCAAGCAGCGTTGGGCGGGCACTCGTGCCCTGATGCAGCGGCTGAAGGTCAGGAGGCCCTGACTGTTGCGCCTTTTGGACTTAAACATCACTTCCTGTGTGCCCTGGGTTGCGCTAGACAACACCCGCTAATTATATGTTGTGCAGCAGTAGGTGAAGTGTGGATGACAGGCCATGTAAAATCATTTTTGTCACAAAGGGCTCACTTCCTGTTACCTGTGACGATGAGTGAATATTTGCATGTAGATGTGTTGAGGGCGGGACAAGTTTGGTGCAGATGTGAGCATGTACACTGAAGTTATAATTACTTCCTGTTTTATGGCGAATCGTTGAACTTTGACGGCACGCCACAGACACGCCCATTGACGAAAACTCACAGATGGCACAACTTTTCATCGTCAGTGCCTTTAGAACGCACAGCAGAAATTTGAAATCGATGGGATTAATTCTTTAGGAGGAGTTCGTTAAAGTACGTAACCTGTAAATGGTGAAAAATGGGTTAAAATGATCCTTTCAATTCAAAATGGCGGACTCCTTGTTGCGTTTAGGGTGTGGGTTCTGGAGGCGTTTTTGTGTGTCCTGACACGATACACAAAGACGCATGTTTAGGCCTTGAAAAGTGCGATTCATTTGGGAGAAAAAAGAATAATCCTTCTCATGATTTCATCTCCCAGATGATGCAAAGCTAACGTCTGCCGATGAAAGGGCCGACCTTTAAAATACCTGAGGTTCTCATTTATTTAGAGCCGGTTCCAGTTCAGAACCGGTTCTCCTGGGGACATTATCTAGTGAGCAGAGCTTCAGCCGAGCTGTGAAGTCTCCCTACACGGTGCTGCTGCAGGACCAGTCAGTTACTGAAACACGTCTGATTGGCTAAACGCTGAAGACTCTTGTGTCCTGTTGGTCAGGTGATGTGTTCAAGTACGGTGGGACAGGCGGACGGTGGGCGGAGCCTGCTGAGTGACCTGCTGGGAGTGTACAGGAGGCTGAGCGCCAAACCGCCTAAAGGTAAAAGACTGTCTGCTCCTGAACAGGTGTGTCTGTTTCTCTGAGGACAAACGCTCACGTCTCCTTTTCTTCAGGGTTCGAGAAGTATTTCCCAGAAAATCAGAAATCTCCAAAAACCCCTGAAGCTGAAACCAAAGGTAGGAAACTCTACTGCTACCTACTGTCGTCTACTGTCACCTACCGTCCTCTACTGTCACCTAGTCTCATCTACTGTCACCTAGTCTCATCTACTGTCACCTAATCTCATCTACTGTCCTCTACTGTCACCTAATCTCATCTACTGTCCTCTACTGTCACCTAATCTCATCTACTGTCACCTAATCTCATCTGCTGTCACCTAATCTCATCTGCTGTCACCTACTGTCCTCTACTGTCACCTACTGTCCTCTACTGTCCTCTACTGTCACCTACTGTCACCTACTGTCACCTAGTCTCACCTACTGTCATCTACTGTCACCTACTGTCCTCTACTGTCACCTAATCTCACCTACTGGCCTCTACTGTCACCTAATCTCACCTACTGGCCTCTACTGTCACCTAATCTCACCTATTGTCACTTACTGTCCTCTACTGTCACCTAATCTCATCTACTGTCCTCTACTGTCACCTAATCTCACCTGCTGTCACCTAATCTCATCTACTGTCACCTACTGTCCTCTACTGTCACCTAATCTCATCTACTGTCACCTAATCTCATCTACTGTCCTCTACTGTCACCTACCGTCCTCTACTGTCACCTACTGTCACCTACTGTCACCTAGTCTCACCTACTGTCATCTACTGTCACCTACTGTCCTCTACTGTCACCTAATCTCACCTACTGGCCTCTACTGTCACCTAATCTCACCTACTGGCCTCTACTGTCACCTAATCTCACCTACTGTCCTCTACTGTCACCTAATCTCACCTACTGGCCTCTACTGTCACCTAATCTCACCTATTGTCACTTACTGTCCTCTACTGTCACCTAATCTCATCTACTGTCACCTAATCTCATCTACTGTCCTCTACTGTCACCTACTGTCCTCTACTGTCACCTACCGTCCTCTACTGTCACCTACTGTCACCTACTGTCACCTACTGTCCTCTACTGTCACCTACTGTCACCTAGTCTCACCTACTGTCATCTACTGTCACCTACTGTCCTCTACTGTCACCTAATCTCACCTACTGGCCTCTACTGTCACCTAATCTCACCTACTGGCCTCTACTGTCACCTAATCTCACCTACTGGCCTCTACTGTCACCTAATCTCACCTATTGTCACTTACTGTCCTCTACTGTCACCTAATCTCATCTACTGTCCTCTACTGTCACCTAATCTCACCTGCTGTCACCTAATCTCATCTACTGTCACCTACTGTCCTCTACTGTCACCTAATCTCATCTACTGTCACCTAATCTCATCTACTGTCCTCTACTGTCACCTACCGTCCTCTACTGTCACCTACTGTCACCTACTGTCACCTAGTCTCACCTACTGTCATCTACTGTCACCTACTGTCCTCTACTGTCACCTAATCTCACCTACTGGCCTCTACTGTCACCTAATCTCACCTACTGGCCTCTACTGTCACCTAATCTCACCTATTGTCACTTACTGTCCTCTACTGTCACCTAATCTCACCTACTGGCCTCTACTGTCACCTAATCTCACCTATTGTCACTTACTGTCCTCTACTGTCACCTAATCTCACCTACTGTCCTCTACTGTCACCTAATCTCACCTACTGTCCTCTACTGTCACCTAATCTCACCTATTGTCACTTACTGTCCTCTACTGTCATTGTCACTTACTGTCCTCTACTGTCACCTAATCTCATCTACTGTCCTCTACTGTCACCTAATCTCACCTATTGTCACTTACTGGCCTCTACTGTCACCTAATCTCATCTACTGTCACTTATTGTCCTCTACTGTCACCTAATCTCACCTACTGGCCTCTACTGTCACCTAATCTCACCTATTGTCACTTACTGGCCTCTACTGTCACCTAATCTCATCTACTGTCACTTATTGTCCTCCACTGTCACCTAATCTCACCTACTGGCCTCTACTGTCACCTAATCTCATCTACTGTCACTTATTGTCCTCTACTGTCACCTAATCTCACCTACTGGCCTCTACTGTCACCTAATCTCATCTACTGTCCTCTACTGTCACCTAATCTCACCTACTCTCCTCTACTGTCCTCTACTGTCACCTAATCTCACCTACTCTCCTCTACTGTCCTCTACTGTCACCTACTCTCCTCTACTGTCACCTAATCTCACCTAGTCTCATCTATTGTCACCTAGTCTCATCTACTGTCACCTAGTCTCATCTACTGTCACCTAGTCTCATCTACTGTCCTCTACTGTTACCTAGTCTCATCTACTGTCACCTAGTCTCATCTACTGTCACCTAGTCTCATCTACTGTCACCTAAACTCACCTACTGTCCTCTACTGTCACCTAGTCTCATCTACTGTCACCTAAACTCACCTACTGTCACCTAAACTCACCTACTGTCCTCTACTGTCACCTAGTCTCATCTACTGTCACCTAAACTCACCTACTGTCACCTAGTCTCATCTACTGTCACCTAGTCTCATCTACTGTCCTCTACTGTTACCTAATCTCATCTACTGTCACCTAGTCTCATCTACTGTCACCTAGTCTCATCTACTGTCACCTAAACTCACCTACTGTCCTCTACTGTCACCTAGTCTCATCTACTGTCACCTAAACTCACCTACTGTCACCTAAACTCACCTACTGTCCTCTACTGTCACCTAGTCTCATCTACTGTCACCTAAACTCACCTACTGTCCTCTACTGTCACCTAATCTCATCTACTGTCACCTAATCTCATCTACTGTCACCTAGTCTCATCTACTGTCACCTAGTCTCATCTACTGTCACCTAAACTCACCTACTGTCCTCTACTGTCACCTACTGTCCTCTGTCACCTAGTCTCATCTACTGTCACCTAGTCTCATCTACTGTCCTCTACTGTTACCTAGTCTCACCTACTGTCACCTAATCTCACCTACTGTCACCTAATCTCACGTACTGTCCTCTACTGTCACCTAATCTCACCTACTGTCCTCTACTGTCACCTAATCTCACGTACTGTCCTCTACTGTCACCTAATCTCACCTACTGTCCTCTACTGTCACCTAATCTCACCTACTGTCCTCTACTGTCACCTAATCTCACCTACTGTCCTCTACTGTCACCTAATCTCACCTACTGTCCTCTACTGTCACCTAATCTAACCTACTGTCCTCTACTGTCACCTACTCTCACCTACTGTCCTCTAACCTACTGTCCTCTACTGTCACCTAAACTCACCTACTGTCCTCTACTGTCACCTAGTCTCATCTACTGTCACCTAAACTCACCTACTGTCCTCTACTGTCACCTAATCTCATCTACTGTCACCTAGTCTCATCTACTGTCACCTAGTCTCATCTACTGTCACCTAAACTCACCTACTGTCCTCTACTGTCACCTAGTCTCATCTACTGTCACCTAGTCTCATCTACTGTCCTCTACTGTTACCTAGTCTCACCTACTGTCACCTAATCTCACCTACTGTCACCTAATCTCACGTACTGTCCTCTACTGTCACCTAATCTCACGTACTGTCCTCTACTGTCACCTAATCTCACCTACTGTCCTCTACTGTCACCTAATCTCACCTACTGTCCTCTACTGTCACCTACTCTCACCTACTGTCCTCTAACCTACTGTCCTCTACTGTCACCTACTCTCACCTACTGTCCTCTAACCTACTGTCCTCTACTGTCACCTAATCTCACCTACTGTCCTCTAACCTACTGTCCTCTACTGTCACCTAATCTCACCTACTGTCCTCTAACCTACTGTCCTCTACTGTCACCTAATCTCACCTACTGTCCTCTACTGTCACCCATCGTCACCACTTGTATTAATCTTGTGCACTGGGAGCAAAATAAAGAGTTTGGTCAAATCTGATGATAAACACATTGTGCAGATCTAAACGCTGATGACACCAAACAAGTCAACAAATTCATTTAATGTTTTTCCAGAAACCTGAACGATAGGAACCACCGAGAGCCGCTTCCACGTCCAGTTGACCTGTACTGACTCCAGACTGGACTGTTCCAGATATTATTTGCTCTTTTGTTCTTTCCTGTTAATCACATCCATGGATTATTGTCTCATCTGTTCTCAGAGGCCAAACCTGCCAATGCTCAGAAGGCCTCTGGGAGGTCAGGAGGAGGAGCAGGAGGAGGAGCAGGAGGAGGAGCAGGAGGAGGAGGAGGAGGGGGAAAACGAGGAGGCCGTAGGGAGGAGTCCCACTGGTACAGCCGCCTGCAGAAGGTCAGTTCAGCTCCCACCTGCATGCTGCCTGTGTAGGTGTTGTTCAGGTCTCTCCTGTGCTCACCTGGTCAGGTGTGTGTAGTCTGTGGTCTGATGTCAGGCTGTGTTTCAGGGCGATGTTCCCTGGGATGATAAAGAGTTTCGGATGTACGTCCTGAGCGGAGCGGCGTTCTGGACCACCGTCACCTATTATTTCTTCTTCAGGGACGGAGGGCGAGAGGTCACCTGGAAGGACTTTGTCAACAACTACCTGTCCAAAGGAGTGGTGAGGAGAACACCTGTACTCTGATGTCGTCACCTTAATCAGATCCTGTTGTAACCCTACTTTAATCTGATCTTCGTCATGTGACTCTGCTGTCCCACTCTGACCAGCAGCCTCAGGTATAAAACCTGCAGGTAGCTTCAGGCGGCGCTGGCTTATCTTTAGGCATGCTCGTTAGAAACTGTGTCCAACTTTCCCGGCGTTACAAAACGTCACATGACATCATGACATTAGGCGGCTGCAGTCTCTTTCCAGGTGGGAAGCACCTTTGTGACGCCAGAACTTCCCCCTCGTTGGTTTCAGGCTTCTCTGACACGTGTGACGTGATGTTATTATTGGAAGAACTTCAGATCCGGTATCTCTTCGAAGAGGATCAATGTCTTTGATCTCCTTCTGGCAGCTCAGCTGTTACAAACAGAACAGTTTAGTTCAGGAGTTACTGTAAGAGAAGTAATCAACGCCGTTGTAGGTCGTATTTTCATATTTTCTCTCATACTGTGCCACTTCTTTATATTGCATATTCTCAAGTCTGTGGTTGTCAAGAAAAAAAAAAGAACTGCTGTTCAAAGTGAACCGCAGTCGTCTTGAACGCACCTTTGACCGCCTGGATCAGCCTCATTACGCCCACGTTCAGGCAGAAACAATCGATACAGAGCGGCTCGTGAATATCGGTGCCGACGAGAGGAAGGCGGACAGCAGAGTTTCTCTGATGCAGACGGGGAGGAGTTTGATGCAGCGAGTTGAACAGAATGATGTGAATCCCAAAGAGGCGTATAAACGGTTCATCTGATGAAAGATGGAGCGGACTATGATTTACAGCTGGAACAGTTCTGGCTCAGTAGCACAAATGTAGTTTTAATGAGTCGCCTGACCGTTTTTTTTTAATCATTTATTAATTTTTATTTATCTAAATTAATCTGACATTTTGATTTTGCGAATAAAGTTTTTTCATCTTGTCAATGGGACCTTGTTAATTTTGTTAATCTGGGTAAAGAAGCCTAATCCGACCGGCTCTGTCTAACCAAACCATTACATCCTGATAATACAGTGTGTCGGTGTACTGAAGGTACATCAGTATGCACCCAGATCACTGCAGAGAGCAGTATCACAGTACGTGCGTGTGTTTTGTCCGTCAGGTGGACCGGTTAGAGGTGGTCAACAAGCGATATGTCAAAGTGGTTTTCTCTCCTGGGAAGACGCCGATGGACGGGGTGAGTTTTTCATTTATGTCTTCTGTTATTTAAAAGGTTAACAGCACAAACAATCAGCGTTGTGTTTGTGTAGCAGATTCACCTCTTTTTAAATCAATAACGGAAGGTACATGGACTTTAAGTTCCCGCAGCCTCAGATCAGATCTCCAAGTTCCCACCCAGACAGTAAGGTGGGAGAAGGTGCAGAGAGGACAGCTCATGTTTCCGATGCCAGTTGTGGGTTTGAACTAACAAACTTCAGCTGGCAGATAGAATCAGGAGCTTCAGCCTGTGTCTTCGTCTCTTTCAGCAGTACGTGTGGTTCAACATCGGCAGCGTGGACACGTTTGAGAGGAACCTGGAGACGGCTCAGAACGAGCTCGGCATCGAGGGAGAGAACCGGCTGCCGGTGGTTTATTCCACCGAGAGCGACGGGTGATGAACAACATCTGTTAGATTCATCGCTGGGGTTGGGTATCGACAACCGGTTCAGGCTTAGAATCTGTACCAAATTCCCAAGAAACGTGGACTCGTTAAGACCCGTGCGTTTGGATCCTGCTCCCCGGTTCCTAACTTCCTGACTGAACTGCAGTGAGCATTTTACGGTCCAACAAAGTGTCTCTGATCTGCCAGCAGCTGCTACGCCGACCGAACATCACCTCATGTGTTACGTCAACAAAGCGTGAAGAAGATTTGTCCTTCTGGTTCCGGTCCTGGACCGTGGCGGACCGCAGCAAACGCTCCAAAGTTTGGCTCAGCTTCACTAAAAACCTGCAGCAGCTGCAGTCAGGAGGTCTGGTGCGAGGGAGGAAGCAGCTCCAACGTGACGAAGCGTTTCCTTCAACGCGGCGTGAATCTGAAGGAACGCCTCACCGTGTCCAACGTGTCGCGCTCTCCCAGATCCAGCTAACGCCAACAGCAGCAACGCCTCAGGTCCAAAACGCAGGTGAGCCGACGTTCACCTTTTATACTGAAGGGAAACCGACGATGGCTCCAGATGAGACGAGTCCCAGAGACGCCGCTGTAGGACAGAGACTCCTCCCACGAAGGTGAGGAGGAAGGAGGGAGAGGATCTGTGGTGAAGGAACCAGAACCCAGATTCAATTAGAACTGGATTCAATAAGTAGACTCGGAATCTAAATCTATGAAAGTGAATCGATGCCCAACCCTGGTGATCACACAGCAGCGCTGCTTTACACAGGATGTATATCTGATAGCTTTGTAATCTAACGCTCGTTTCTCCTCTCCAGCACGTTCCTACTGAGCATGCTCCCCACGGTGCTCATCATTAGCTTCCTGCTGTTCATGCTGCGGCGGGGCCCGGCGGGGGCGGGGCGTCCCGGCCGGGGGATGGGCGGGCTGTTCAGTGTCAGCGAGACGACCGCGAAGATCCTGAAGGACGAGATCGATGTGAAGTTCAAAGACGTGGCGGGCTGCGAGGAGGCCAAGCTGGAGATCATGGAGTTCGTCAACTTCCTCAAGAACCCCAAACAGTACCAGGACCTGGGGGCCAAGATCCCAAAGGTGAGGTCAAAGAGGGCAAGGGGGGGTCGTAGGGGACGAGGGGGTGGGAGAAGGATCCAAAATAATTAATTACCAGGTTAACAGTGTTCAGACGCTCCAGCTGAACTACGGTGAATGTGGTAATAAGGGCGAGACGCCAGAATATCAGTTTGGACCACATGTCAGACCTGGAGTCAGCGGCGTGGAGTCAGAGCAGCAGCTGCAGTTTGGTTGGTTAAACGTGATCCGTGTCTTCATTACTCATTTAAAGAGAAGGATCGGGCGGCGCCGCCTCACGGGCCTGAGCTCTGCCACAGCTGGCTTCTGCAGGAGAGGACGAGTCCCTCTGAGGGGCAGAGGAGCAGTCGAGCCTCCAGCGGGTCGCTAACCATCATGCACTGCACTCACTGTGTGTACTCTGTGGTAATGGTTGTGTGTTGTGTGTGTAGGGGGCCATCCTGACGGGGCCTCCGGGAACAGGAAAGACACTCTTGGCCAAAGCGACGGCCGGCGAGGCCAACGTGCCGTTCATCACCGTCAACGGCTCCGAGTTCCTGGAGATGTTCGTGGGAGTCGGCCCCGCCAGGGTGAGGAACGCACAGGAAGCTCTCTGCTGACTTCCTGGCTGTGGAGGCTCAGCAGGGGCTGCTGGGAAGTGTAGGCAGTGAATCCAGACCAGCTGTGTTTAAAGGCTGTGTTGTTGACTTGCAGGACTTTACTGTTACCCTCTACTCTTTACGTGTATTTGTACTACGCTAGCACTATTACTCACCAGGCTACCACAGTTTACTTATGTATACCTTTTAGCTGCTGCACCGTTTCATGTTTGACTTTATACGTGTCTACAAAGCTTGAGTGTTCACGCTCCTGCACACAGTGAGGCATCATGGGTTGTTTGTAGCCTTCATGTCGCTAAGCTAACGCGTCTGTCAACAGCGAGTCAGTGTTCGGTTGGTCCAGTTTAACCTGCAGCATTTAGAGGAGATGTTCGTGGCTGTCTGAGCATCTCTGACCTCACCCTGTCCTCCTCATGTCACTTCCTGTGCAGGTGAGAGATCTGTTCGTCATGGCGAGGAAGAACGCGCCCTGCATCCTCTTCATCGACGAGATCGACGCAGTGGGACGCAAACGAGGGCGAGGAAACTTTGGAGGGCAGAGCGAGCAGGAGAACACGTTGAACCAGCTGCTGGTGGAGATGGACGGTGGGTCTTCATCATCTGGATCTGCGTGTTGAGGCTTCTAGCTTTTAGAAAAGTGTAAAGTTTTATGTCTCTGCCCTACAGCTAGAGAGCGCTCCCCCTCTGAATCTGGGAAACAGAGGCATCATGGGAGGAAAGTGTGACATCAGCGATCAATATGGTTGTTGTTCAGAAGGCAGTTAAGAAGTTTGTACAAGACCCTGATCTGACACGTTCCTGCTCAAACAGAATAATGTTTGTGACCACCAGGGGGCAGCAGAACCGTGACTTCTCAAACAGAGGCCTGGCAGCTGCAGAGCAAACCAGGCCTTTATTTCTTATTCCTCTCTTTGGATTATATTTGCCTCCTTGTTTTCTGATCTGCTCCTGCTTTTCCTGAAACGTTGTTACTGCTGTTAACACAAACTCAACACTTCCTGTATCCATTTTAAATTAAAAGCCCCTGAGCCTTTCAGTGGACTAGCCACGAGCCAATCAAAGCACAGTAGGGCGGATCTCTTGGAGCTGAAAAATAATGTTATTGGTAACTGGTCAAAGAGCGAAGTGACAGGAAGTCACAGGTCTCACTCCTGTCTGTCCTTTTAGGGTTCAACACGGCGACCAACGTTGTGGTTCTAGCAGGAACCAACAGACCGGACATTCTGGACCCGGCGCTGATGAGACCCGGACGTTTCGACAGACAGATTTACATCGGTCAGTTTTCTGTGAATTTAATCCCAACTAACGGAGGATTCCAGCAGGTTCAGCTTTTTCTTTTCTCTTTCTAAAACTATCACACTGTCTCTAAAGCTTTCAGCTCACTATCACACTGTCTCTAAAGCTTTCAGCTCACTATCACACTGTCTCTAAAGCATTTAGTTCACTATCACACTATCTCTAAAGCCTTCAGCTCACTATCACACTGTCTCTAAAGCATTTAGTTCACTATCACACTATCTCTAAAGCCTTCAGCTCACTATCACACTGTCTCTAAAGCCTTCAGCTCACTATCACACTATCTCTAAAGCCTTCAGCTCACTATCACACTGTCTCTAAAGCTTTCAGCTCACTATCACACTGTCTCTAAAGCATTTAGTTCACTATCACACTATCTCTAAAGCCTTCAGCTCACTATCACACTGTCTCTAAAGCCTTCAGCTCACTATCACACTATCTCTAAAGCATTTAGTTCACTATCACACTATCTCTAAAGCCTTCAGCTCACTATCACACTGTCTCTAAAGCCTTCAGCTCACTATCACACTGTCTCTAAAGCCTTCAGCTCACTATCACACTGTCTCTAAAGCCTTCAGCTCACTATCACACTATCTCTAAAGCCTTCAGCTCACTATCACACTATCTCTAAAGCATTTAGTTCACTATCACACTATCTCTAAAGCCTTCAGCTCACTATCACACTGTCTCTAAAGCCTTCAGCTCACTATCACACTGTCTCTAAAGCCTTCAGCTCACTATCACACTATCTCTAAAGCCTTCAGCTCACTATCACACTGTCTCTAAAGCCTTCAGCTCACTATCACACTATCTCTAAAGCATTTAGTTCACTATCACACTATCTCTAAAGCCTTCAGCTCACTATCACACTGTCTCTAAAGCATTTAGTTCACTATCACACTATCTCTAAAGCCTTCAGCTCACTATCACACTGTCTCTAAAGCTTTCAGCTCACTATCACACTATCTCTAAAGCCTTCAGCTCACTATCACACTGTCTATAAAGCTTTCAGCTCACTATCACACTATCTCTAAAGCCTTCAGCTCACTATCACACTATCTCTAAAGCCTTCAGCTCACTATCACACTGTCTCTAAAGCATTTAGTTCACTATCACACTATCTCTAAAGCCTTCAGCTCACTATCACACTGTCTCTAAAGCCTTCAGCTCACTATCACACTATCTCTAAAGCCTTCAGCTCACTATCACACTGTCTATAAAGCTTTCAGCTCACTATCACACTATCTCTAAAGCCTTCAGCTGACTATCACACTATCTCTAAAGCTTTCAGCTGACTATCACACTATCTCTAAAGCTTTCAGTTGACTATCACACTATCTCTAAAGCCTTCAGCTCACTATCACACTGTCTCTAAAGCTTTCAGCTCACTATCACACTATCTCTAAAGCTTTGAGCTCACATCACACTATCTCTAAAGCTTTGAGCTCACTATCACACTGTCTCTAAAGCCTTCAGCTGACTATCACACTATCTCTAAAGCCTTCAGCTGACTATCACACTATCTCTAAAGCTTTCAGCTGACTATCACACTATCTCTAAAGCCTTCAGCTGACTATCACACTATCTCTAAAGCCTTCAGCTGACTATCACACTATCTCTAAAGCCTTCAGCTGACTATCACACTATCTCTCATGCTTTCAGCTGACTATCACACTGTCTCTAAAGCATTTAGTTCACTATCACACTATCTCTAAAGCTTTGAGCTCACTATCACACTGTCTCTAAAGCATTTAGTTCACTATCACACTATCTCTAAAGCCTTCAGCTGACTATCACACTATCTCTAAAGCCTTCAGTTCACTATCACACTATCTCTAAAGCCTTCAGTTCACTATCACACTATCTCTAAAGCCTTCAGTTCACTATCACACTATCTCTAAAGCCTTCAGTTCACTATCACACTATCTCTAAAGCCTTCAGCTCACTATCACACTATCTCTAAAGCTTTGAGGAAACACAGTAGAAAACCGGTGAGTTGTTGTTTACTCAAAAGAAGGAAACACCTTAAATGATGTCATTATCTTGAGAAAACATTTTTTAAAGCTTATTGATCGTTCTTGACTTGTTGATTGATCTGTGTGTCGGGATATTTCATCTAAAGGTGAGGACATTGTTGGCACATTACATCTGACTTGCTGATGATTCAAGTGATGAGGTCCAGTCTGGACTGGGTGTTTATGTAGCGCCGTCTAAAGATTTAGCCACAGCAATTTTACGGTTGGACTCCTGCAGAGGAGCTCGATGCATCACTGCTGTTAAATATTTCTTGTGTTTAAGTGAACATATTCACAACAGAACATTGATGATGAGAGATAAACGAGTTTATGTCAGAGCTGCGCTTCATTATTTCTGACAGACAAACATTCATACAGCTTCACAGGTAGAAGGTTTGCGTTGCCCTCTTATTGTGAAAGAGTCTGATCGTCCGTATGTTTAATAACAACTGAACTTTATTTATTGATTGAGCTCAGCGTGTTTCACAAAACAGGGAAAAGAACATTCGTCTGAGAGCGAGTTTATGTAACAGATAAAAAGTGACAGTGATGTTCTGGTGTCTCAGGTCCTCCTGATATTAAAGGTCGGGCGTCCATCTTTAAAGTTCACCTGCGTCCTCTGAAGCTGGAGGTCGACTTGGACAATGAAGCTCTGGCCAGGAAGATGGCCGCCCTCACACCTGGGTTCTCAGGTAAACTCGCTGTTGGATTTCTCTCCATGAAACAGCTGTAACCTCGCTGTAACTTCACGCTTTGGGTTTCTTCTCTCTGTTTTCTGTCAGGCGCAGACATCGCTAACGTCTGTAACGAGGCGGCTCTGATCGCCGCTCGCCACCTTTCAGACGCCATCAGCCAGAAACACTTTGAACAGGCCATAGAGAGAGTCATCGGAGGTGAGGGCTCACATCTCTGACATCATGTCCGCTGAAATCGGACTCTGCTTCTGGTACCGCGGTTCTGAACAGCCTGTGTGAAAGTAACGTCTGCGATGTCCGACGTGTTGCCTTCCAGACTGAGTTGGAATCTGAACTCTTCCTGTTTGTGTTTGAGGTCTGGAGAAGAAGACTCAGGTCCTGCAGCCGGAGGAGAAGAAGACGGTGGCGTATCACGAGGCGGGGCACGCCATCGCTGGATGGTTCTTGGAGCACGCCGACCCGCTGATAAAGGTCACACTTACTAATGATTAACTACGTGTGGTCCAGCTCTGTCTGTTAGCTATGGACTCAGCTCTGACTCAACAAGACCAAAAAGATGCATTTCAACCAGCCTGTGGAGCATGCATGGTGAAATGCATCTTGGGAGTCGTAGTTGACTCCTCCCCAGGGCTTCCGGCTCGTCATCAGTGTTGGTGAAGGAGCTGTCGTCATGTTTGTTCTGCGCCTTGTCTGAAGTCCCGTTTGACAGGACGATTGTTGGGAGCTCAAAGATATCCCATCATGCCATGTGCAGTCAGCTGTCACAGAGCATGTTGTTGTTGTTGTTGTTGTTACCTGTGCAGGTGTCCATCATCCCCAGAGGGAAGGGTCTGGGTTACGCTCAGTACCTGCCCAAAGAGCAGTACCTGTACACCAAGGAGCAGCTGCTGGACCGCATGTGTATGACCCTGGGAGGCCGAGTCTCCGAGGAGATCTTCTTCGGACGAATTACCACCGGAGCTCAGGACGACCTCCGAAAGGTCACCCAGAGCGCCTACGCACAGGTCAGAGGTCACACAGGGTCAGAGGTTCGAGTCTAATTATACTTGTGCGTTGGTGTCTGTGTCCTGATATAATATTACCTACTGCAGCTTTAATATAATATGAGCGTATTATTTTACAGTAGTAAGAACGTCTCATCAGCGTGGGTTTGATCCTGCCGCTCTGCCGCTCTCCTCTCCATTCATACACAGATGTTTACTGACGTGCAGCCAAAAAACACTAAACTGAACTAAAGTGGGTTTATTTGCCGAACACTCATGTGAAGATGACTCATACAAATGTGACGTTTCTGAGCAGCCAAACGTCTTCTGAAAGTAAGAGTACCTGACGAGGGTGGAACCAGTGTTGGACACAGCGTCGCTACAAGCAGCGCCGTCACTAGTTTAACTACATTTCTCAGTAGCTTGGTGGCAGCGTCGCCATTTTCTGAATCAAATAGCTTTTCAGTAACGAAGCTCTTTCATTGATCGAGTAGCGCCGTAGCTTCAACACATGCTACATTTCCCCAGGCATTTCTGAAGGATCAGTAAGTTACGCCGCCGACACACATGGACCTGGATGTGCAGCCCGCAGAAGCGCTTCTTTGTGACGGGGACATCACGTACTGATCCTTGGGCTGATGTCTGCGGCTTTGCTGCAGGGAATAAAGACACGTATGATTGAGTTCACTTTCTATTGTGATGGTTATTGTAACAGCTCTTGTGAGAAGGATCAGGGTCCAGCCCGGACAGCTCGTCCTCTAGTGAGGAGCAAACTTTGATATATATATATATATATATATATATATATATATATATATATTTTATTTCTCCCGAGGGAAATTCAAGTATCCAGCAGCATACGAAACATACATACATTAAACCTATATTAAAATAGAATTAAAATTAAGACAACTTATAACACAGTAAAACAGTGCAAAAACAGTAAACAGTGCAAGATGGAGGCTACCGGCACATTGAGTGTCAATGAACATTAACACACGTGAAAATCAAAACGCTAAAATTAATTATGTTCATGAAGTCACCTGTCTGTTATTAGGAAAAACACAACTGTGGATATGTACTGTAGGTAAGTTATGATATTTTATCTAATTTTTATACTTATTTTATTCATGTCATCAGTATTTAATGATTAATTAGGCTGTAATCAAAACTCATGTTAGGTCTAATTTTCGGGACAAACCGGACAGGGGTCGGGACAACTGCTCGCAATTCGGGACTGTCCCGGATTATTCGGGACGTCTGGTCACCCTAGTTGTTTAGGTTGCAATGTTTTCAGAGCACAAATTCACATATAAACAATAAAAATATATATAATTAATTAATAATGTGATAATTAAGTTACTTTATACAAACAACAATGGTTCTCCGTTTGTTGCATGAGGAAATACATTTAGCTGCAATGATATGACAGGAAGTAGGAGAGTTTCTGTGTGTCTGATGTAGCTCTCTGCACACACACACTGTTAAGAGCAGGTTTTTAGTCTTTCTTCTGTTGCTACTGTGGAATGAAGCAAGTTCAATATAAACTAGGCCTTTACTGTGTGTGTGTATGACCCAACTATAGAATATAAACAAATTAAAAGTAGCTTAGATGTAACTAAGCTACTGTAGCTTAGCTTGCTACATTTCACGGGGGGGTAGCCTCTGTGTAGTGAGGCTTCATTTAATGGAGAGTAGCTGGTAGCTTAGCTCACTACATTTTCCAAGTAGCTCGCCCAACACTGGCGGTAACACCTGTGGCCTGTAAATAAAGAGAAGGTTCCGGATGTTCTGCCTGCAGCAACCTACTGTTTTTAAATAGAAATGAACCAAAGCTGCTACCTGGAGTGAAGGAAATGTATTTAAGCACTGATGGATGATCCGCAGGAACAGAAAGAACATCGAACTCCACTGTGTTCCTGCTGGTTCCTATCTGACCTTCTTGTTTCTGTGTTCTGCTGCAGATCGTTCAGTTCGGGATGAATGAGAAGGTGGGTCAGGTGTCCTTCGACCTCCCACGGCAGGGTGAGATGGTTCTGGAGAAACCCTACAGCGAAGCTACGGCTCGTCTCATCGACTCCGAGGTTCGAAACCTCATCGGCGAGGCGTACCAGAGAACCCACGAACTGCTGAGCAGCAAGAAGGCCGAGGTGGAGAAGGTACCGATGATCTATAGCCGTCTGTTCTTGATCACCATCAAGAACCTCTGAGGGTTCTTAACCTGTTCTATGTTCTAGACCTCGCAGATGGAGACGAGGTGGCTCTGAGAGATAGAACAGGTTCTAAGTGACATGGAGGTTTAGAACACCTGAAAACTGGGTTCTAGTTCACGAAGCACCCCCATGCTTAAAGAATGTTCTCCAATTGTTGTTCTTCAATCTACTTCTATAACAACAAATTTTTTTGAACTAGAACCAGCTCTGACATTGAGTCCTTGAACATTTCTGTGCTTAAAGAACGCTTTGAGTTCTCTAACTTTTCTGTGCTACGCTACGAATCTTTCAGACCTGAAAGAACATTTTAGAGCTTATGGCCAAAAGCCTTGTAGAGTTCGTTACAGTTCTAGAATTTAATTCAGAGCCGGTTCTAGTTTAGGAGCAAAGCATTTGCTGTTATTAACAGATTGTAGTTGAAGAACATTATAGACGTGTCTTTGCTGTGAATGTAGATATAGAACCCTGTTCCAGCACAGGGTTCTAGGTCACTCACAGAATACACATGCATTTCTAGAATGTTCTGCGTCTGGTGCTCTACAAACTTCCTCTGCTAAACTTTTCTGCATCACCTAGAAGTTTTTAGAACTGTCATTGTGTTCTATTTTGTGCTGAGAAATAAAACCTTCTAGCCTCAGAACCCTGCTCAGACCTAGAACGCTGGTTAAATTGTTCTCCAACTGGTGTTCTACAATCTACTTCAATAACAACAATTCATTTTTCCTACTAAACCAGAACCGGCCCTGACCCCTACAACCTTGTCTTTTAAGTTCTTGAATATTTTTTTAGATGAGAAGCCTTTTGATAATAAGTTCTAAAACTTTCACGTAGAACCCTGTTCCAAAGCAGCCAAGCCATCCACATGTTTCTAGAGTGTTCTCCTTGTGATGTTCTACAATGTTCCATTACAACAAATCTTATGTTCATAAATTAGAACCAGCTCTGATATATAGAACCCTGTCCTTCAAGGTCTTTCACAGCACACCAACACTCCAGAGTCAAGACCTTGTTCTCTGTGTCCTGCAGGTGGCGCTGCGGCTGCTGGAGAAGGAGGTTCTGGATAAGAGCGACATGGTTGAGCTGCTGGGAAAACGCCCGTTTGCAGAGAAGGCGACGTACGAGGAGTTTGTCGAGGGAACCGGAGGCATGGATGAGGACACAACGCTGCCAGAGGGTCTGAAGGACTGGAACCAGGAGAGGAAGGACAAGGAGGAGAGCCCGGATGAGCAGGTGGCCCGCCAGATCTCAGGCGGAATGCCCTTCTAGAACCTTGTGATGGACGGCTGAACACCCAAATACTGACCCATCAATTTCACGTGTCATAAATATCGGAATTCTGCAATCCTAATCACTCACGAGGTCGAGAACCTTCTCACTGACTTCAAGAGTAAACATCAAGAGCTCTGCACTTGCTCCTAGAACCTTTTATCTGCACTTAACACCAAATCTTCACCCAGTAAAGTTCTTAAACATTCTGTTGGATGTCTGGTTCTACCACTGTCCTAAACCCCGCCAAGCTCTCCCACACTTGTCTCCATCTTCGAGGTCTGAAACCCTCTATGAGACTCTAGAACCTTTTCTCTGGAGTCCTGCACTCACCAAACCTTCTCCTCATAGTTCTGCAACTTTTACTTAAGGTCTGACCTTGTGGAACCATCTCATTTAGATGGAGGGAACTTCATACAGAACAGATTGTTCTAGAGTTGTGAAGGAAGTACCCTCCTATGTGTGGAGGTTGAGAGCACTCCCTCCAGTATGGGGTTCTAGAACACAACATACATGTACTTCTAAGCTGTTCTTCATGAGGAAGGACTCAGCTTATGCTACATTAAATCTCCAGACTGGAGAATTACCGCTGCATCCAGAACTAATTCACCAAGTTCCAAAACATTTCAGCGCTGAGAACTCTGTATAGAACTTCAACAACAGCTCTAGAACCACAGCTTTCTCAGAAAATATAACTAGTCTTGGCTAATATTAGTTTTTCTCTACAAAAAAATTCTTCTCTGCATAGAAACCTTAACAACGGTTCTAGAACTGGTGTCTTTGTTGTTTGTGCTGTTCTGGGGTTCCCTACCTTGAGGTCTAAAATGTGAAGTTCTAAACCTTTGCTCCAAAGTGTTCCCTACAATCGACAAGTCTTTTCATCACAAACTAGAACCAGTTCTGACTTAAAGAACCTGGCACTGAATTCTGGAACATTTCTCTCTAAAGAACTGATGTCTGCAGAGAACTCGAGAGGCATTCTCTGCCCTAGAAAACTTGCTCCACTGCAGGGTTCTGACACCATCTACCTGCTTTAGAACCTGTAGAACCTTCCAGCTGACTTCTAAAAGAAAATGTTTTCCTGGTAACTGCATAGAACTCAACCAACCATTCTAGAAGTGTTCTCTATGTTGGGATTGGATTACCAAAGCAGGGTTCTAGGTCATTCACATCAGACACTTCTAGAAAGTTCTTTACCTGTTGTTCTACAATCAACTTCTGTTACAGTAAATCTTTTCATCATAAAGCAGAACCAGTTCTGACTTAAAGAATCCTAGTTAATTGAATGTCCTCTACAAAGGAAATGTCCTATGCATAGAACCATAGAACTGTTCTCTGCTCTAGAAGCCTTACTCTGTTGCAGTGTTCTAAAGCAAACGTACTTGCAAAACCTTTACTTCAAGCCCGACCTGTAGAATCGTTTGAGCCTTTCTGTATCCATAGAACTCCTGTTTAAGGTTCTATCTTCGGACTCGGCAGCCGCTGGTTCCTCGCCTCCCGCCGAACTGTGTTCTTTGGTTCCAGCAGATGATGGACAGAACGGTACTGGAGCAGTTCTTACAGTTGATCCTTCAGTAGAACAAAGAGAATCAGCAACTCTGACTCGCACCAAAGGAGTTCTGCTGCAGTGAAAGAATAAAACGTAGTCTGCATTTTAATCACGTATTTATCGACCGTTATTGATCCAGAAAATATTGATGTTTTGTTTCATCATGAAATGAATGTTCTGGAAGACTTGTGGTTCTATCAGAGATCTTCATCATCTTCATGGTAACCGTGCTCAAAGCTAACAGTAACACAGAGCTGCTGGAGAGCAACGCTAATATCAAAGCTAATGTTAGCACGTGGAGGATTAAAGCAGAACTTCTCAGAGAGCTGTTGAGAGCCGGCGTGCTGTGTGACGTGTGCAGCTCGTGCTAACATGCAGCAGTCTGCTGTAGACGTGTAATATGATGTGTAATAATGTGTAAATGTGTTTCATGATTCAGATGTTTTAATAAAGTCAGAAGACACAATAAAAAAATCAGTAAGCTGTCAATCATTAAAAGCTTAAAGGATGTTTTTCCTCAATGAAAGCTTTACCTGTTCCACCTGTGCTGACACACATTAGTTAGAAGAACACCTGTTCTCTGCACGATCCATAACATTTACTGACGCAAATCTGCACAAAACAAACTGAAAGACAAAGAGTGGGAACATAAAACCAATAGAACATATTCCTACATGAATATACCTGTTTCTTAGTGCAGCATTAACGCACGCTACGCCTCCATGTTTGTAGTTCTTCTGTAAATCTAAGTAGTTCAAGTCCAGTGAAAAACCTTCAGTGGTAAAAACGTTTGTGTACATGTTTTACATGTATTAGATTAATGTTAGTGAAGGCAGACAGAGCAGCTGCTCATCACTTCATCTTACTGTGAAATACTGAACAAAACGCCTTCAATTATTTGTTAATTTTAGATCTGAAAATGTTTGTTTTGGTGATGTAAACGTAGTTTTTAACTTTGGCAGTTTGCTGCTGACTGTGGTTCCATTCAAGGTTTTTCACCGGACTAGAAACAGTGTTATTTCAGTGAATACTAATTCATTCATTCCAATTTCATATGGACTAGTTGAATTTTTTATTTCACGTATTTATTTGTCAGTTCATTATTTATTGTTATTAACAGAAACATGATGGAAACATTTTGATAAAGACTGAAAGCTCCTCACGCGTCTTTTATTTTGAAGCCTCCCTCACAGAGGATGTGACGTCAGGCGGAAGTGCCGCTTGTGTAGCGGAGACAAACATCAGACCCGTCCGGCTGGTTCTGGTCCATCTGAAGGGACTGCGGAGGTCAGGGAGCCGGAGCCGGAGCCGGAGCCGGTCTGCATGGCGGTCACAGTTTCCGCGGTACGAAGAATCAAACGCTTCTTTCTGCGGTTCCGCTCTGAGGGACACATGCTAAGCTAATGCTAGCTGGAGGAGCTGACGCGAAGCAACAATTAAACTGAGTTGTTCTGTAAACGCTAATCACAAAGTCTGAATCCGCCGGAAGTGATCAGCTGATCAGATAAACACCGGGTCACAGCAGCTAGGCTAGGCTAGGCTAACACACCTCAGAAGTTCTGGATGGTTCTGTTAGCTAAGCTAAACTAGCTGAGGTTTAGTTTGAAACAGGAAGTTCGTCACTGCGATGATCAGATCGGATCGATCAGTGGCTGCAGGGTCCAGTTCTAAAGGCTTAATCTGGATCAGAGTGATCCGGATCAAGTTTTCCTATCCAGGATCAATAATCCGTCTTACTTTTGTTCCGGTTTGTGAAAGCAACATGGGATTAGAACACCCTGATCCAGATCACCCTGATCCAGATCACCCTGATCCAGAACTACAGGTAGGACAGGCAGCGCTCTGATCGGGACTACAGATCCCAGCGGAGGCTGTTAGCTGTGAAAAGAACCCCAGGTAGAACAGAAGAGACGTTCTTTTAGAGGCGGGTCTCAGAATGAGGGACAGGCTGGACCTGATCCAGATGGTAGAGACCGGCTGGACCTGAGACATAAACAGCTGTGAGCTCAGACACCTGAAGGTGCGTTTGTTTTGTTCACCTGTTGCTGGTGTTGACAGGGAGGGCCGGCCCTCGTTATGGAGAACGGACAGAGCACCACCACCAAGCTGGGCCTGCCGCCGCTGACCCCCAACCAGCAGGAGGCCCTGCAGAAGGTAACGCACAGTTCAGTTTATATAAATAGCACCAGTCTGTGTAAAGGAAGTGGGCGGAGCCATCGTGACGTCCCCCGTTAGTTTGTGGAACGCCGTTTTAAGCCTCCAGTTTGGCATCCTGACCGTCGCCGTCTTGGTTTCTTGGAACCAGACGTGACCATATTTGGACGAGATAGTGGAGCGAGATAGTGGAGCTAGCTAGCTTGGTTAGCGAGCTGCATCTGTAATTCACATTAACTGTGATATTAGCTGAGATGCTAATTTTAGCTAGCGACAAACAGGCTTAAAACAAAACGTACTTACTGAAAAATGAGCAGCCGACTCCTGATGAGCTTTTTCAGCAGCACTGGATAAATTTATACAGAGCAGCGGATACGAGTTGCCTCTGTCCTGATTGACAGGTCGCCAATCAGCTTGTAGCCCCGCCCTAAAGCCTCCCCTGCTTCCTGGTCTCTGTTCCTCTAAATGGGACCATAATTTACTGAATGAACATCATGTTGTGTTGAAGAAGACTTGAAACTAGCGACTGAGACCAGAAACTCATCAGGAAAGTGTTTACTGAGGGAATAAATCAGCTGACAAGTAGAAATAGTTTCTCACAGACTTCTATACAATCACGCTTCTTTCTGCAGCCGCTGGAGTCGCCCCCTGCTGGCTGCTAGAGAGGACGCAGGTTTAAGTCGCCCCCTGCTGGCTGCTAGAGAGGACGCAGGTTTAAGTCGCCCCCTGCTGGCTGCTAGAGAGGACGCAGGTTTAAGTCGCCCCCTGCTGGCTGCTAGAGAGGACGCAGGTTTAAGTCGCCCCCTGCTGGCTGCTGGAGAGGACGCAGGTTTAAGTCGCCCCCTGCTGGCTGCTAGAGAGGACGCAGGTTTAAGTCGCCCCCTGCTGGCTGCTAGAGAGGACGCAGGTTTAAGTCGCCCCCTGCTGGCTGCTAGAGAGGACGCAGGTTTAAGTCGCCCCCTGCTGGCTGCTAGAGAGGATGCAGGTTTAAGTCGCCCCCTGCTGGCTGCTAGAGAGGACGCAGGTTTAAGTCGCCCCCTGCTGGCTGCTAGAGAGGACGCAGGTTTAAGACTCTTCAGCGCCGGGTTCATTTACAGCACCAAATCCTAACAGAAGTGACCTGAGAGCAGGTCTCATAGAGCCGGAAGTCCGGCAGGATATCTGTTCGTTATCCGCTTCACTAGTGATCAGTCAGGTTCAGAGGTCACATGACGCTGGTTGTCAATCGGTATGTCAACCCAGGGTTTCCCAGACCAGCCTTGGACAGAGCGGCTTTAACTAATGAGACAGACAAGTAAACGGTGATGTATGTGTGTGTGGCAGAGCTGGTTGTATAATGTGAGCGGTTTCCTGTCTGCAGGCGAAGAAATACGCCATGGAGCAGAGCATCAGGAGTGTTCTGGTCAAACAGACTCTGGCTCAGCAGCAGCAGATCAACAGCCTGCAGGTAACACACAGCCTCACCTGTCCTCAGGTAACACACGGCCTCACCTGTCCTCAGGTAACACACGGCCTCACCTGTCCGCAGGTAACACACGGCCTCACCTGTCCGCAGGTAACACACGGCCTCACCTGTCCGCAGGTAACACACGGCCTCACCTGTCCGCAGGTAACACACGGCCTCACCTGTCCTCAGGTAACACACGGCCTCACCTGTCCTCACGGCCTCACCTGTCCTCACGGCCTCACCTGTCCTCAGGTAACACACGGCCTCACCTGTCCTCAGGTAACACACGGCCTCACCTGTCCTCAGGTAACACACGGCCTCACCTGTCACACAGCACACACGGCCTCACCTGTCCGCAGGTAACACACGGCCTCACCTGTCACACAGCACACACGGCCTCACCTGTCCTCAGGTAACACACAGCCTCACCTGTCCTCAGGTAACACACAGCCTCACCTGTCCTCAGGTAACACACAGCCTCACCTGTCCTCAGGTAACACACGGCCTCACCTGTCACACAGCACACACGGCCTCACCTGTCCGCAGGTAACACACGGCCTCACCTGTCACACAGCACACACGGCCTCACCTGTCCTCAGGTAACACACAGCCTCACCTGTCCTCACGGCCTCACCTGTCCTCAGGTAACACACGGCCTCACCTGTCCTCAGGTAACACACGGCCTCACCTGTCCTCAGGTAACACACGGCCTCACCTGTCCTCACGGCCTCACCTGTCCTCAGGTAACACACGGCCTCACCTGTCCGCAGGTAACACACGGCCTCACCTGTCCGCAGGTAACACACGGCCTCACCTGTCCGCAGGTAACACACGGCCTCACCTGTCCTCAGGTAACACACGGCCTCACCTGTCCGCAGGTAACACACGGCCTCACCTGTCCACAGGTAACACACGGCCTCACCTGTCCTCACGGCCTCACCTGTCCTCAGGTAACACACGGCCTCACCTGTCCTCACGGCCTCACCTGTCCGCAGGTAACACACGGCCTCACCTGTCCGCAGGTAACACACGGCCTCACCTGTCCTCAGGTAACACACGGCCTCACCTGTCCTCAGGTAACACACGGCCTCACCTGTCCTCAGGTAACACACGGCCTCACCTGTCCTCACGGCCTCACCTGTCCTCACGGCCTCACCTGTCCTCAGGTAACACACGGCCTCACCTGTCCACAGGTAACACACGGCCTCACCTGTCACACAGCACACACGGCCTCACCTGTCCGCAGGTAACACACGGCCTCACCTGTCACACAGCACACACGGCCTCACCTGTCCTCAGGTAACACACAGCCTCACCTGTCCTCAGGTAACACACAGCCTCACCTGTCCTCAGGTAACACACGGCCTCACCTGTCACACAGCACACACGGCCTCACCTGTCCGCAGGTAACACACGGCCTCACCTGTCACACAGCACACACGGCCTCACCTGTCCTCAGGTAACACACAGCCTCACCTGTCCTCACGGCCTCACCTGTCCTCAGGTAACACACGGCCTCACCTGTCCTCAGGTAACACACGGCCTCACCTGTCCTCAGGTAACACACGACCTCACCTGTCCGCAGGTAACACACGACCTCACCTGTCCGCAGGTAACACACGGCCTCACCTGTCCGCAGGTAACACACGGCCTCACCTGTCCGCAGGTAACACACGGCCTCACCTGTCCTCACGGCCTCACCTGTCCTCAGGTAACACACGGCCTCACCTGTCCGCAGGTAACACACGGCCTCACCTGTCCGCAGGTAACACACGGCCTCACCTGTCCTCACGGCCTCACCTGTCCTCAGGTAACACACGGCCTCACCTGTCCTCACGGCCTCACCTGTCCTCAGGTAACACACGGCCTCACCTGTCCGCAGGTAACACACGGCCTCACCTGTCCGCAGGTAACACACGGCCTCACCTGTCCGCAGGTAACACACGGCCTCACCTGTCCGCAGGTAACACACGGCCTCACCTGTCCTCACGGCCTCACCTGTCCTCAGGTAACACACGGCCTCACCTGTCACACAGCACACACGGCCTCACCTGTCCTCAGGTAACACACGGCCTCACACGGCCTCACCTGTCCTCACGGCCTCACCTGTCCTCAGGTAACACACGGCCTCACCTGTCCTCACGGCCTCACCTGTCCGCAGGTAACACACGGCCTCACCTGTCCGCAGGTAACACACGGCCTCACCTGTCCTCACGGCCTCACCTGTCCGCAGGTAACACACGGCCTCACCTGTCCTCACCTGTCCTCAGGTAACACACGGCCTCACCTGTCCTCAGGTAACACCCGGCCTCACACGGCCTCACGGCCTCACCTGTCCTCAGGTAACACCCGGCCTCACCTGTCCTCAGGTAACACACGGCCTCACACGGCCTCACGGCCTCACCTGTCCTCAGGTAACACCCGGCCTCACCTGTCCTCAGGTAACACACGGCCTCACCTGTCCTCAGGTAACACACGGCCTCACCTGTCCTCACCTGTCCTCAGGTAACACACGGCCTCACCTGTCCTCAGGTAACACACGGCCTCACCTGTCCTCACCTGTCCTCAGGTAACACACGGCCTCACCTGTCCTCAGGTAACACACGGCCTCACCTGTCCGCAGGTAACACACGGCCTCACCTGTCCTCACCTGTCCTCAGGTAACACACGGCCTCACCTGTCCTCAGGTAACACACGGCCTCACACGGCCTCACGGCCTCACCTGTCCGCAGGTAACACACGGCCTCACCTGTCCTCACGGCCTCACCTGTCCGCAGGTAACACACGGCCTCACCTGTCCTCACCTGTCCTCAGGTAACACACGGCCTCACCTGTCCTCAGGTAACACACGGCCTCACACGGCCTCACGGCCTCACCTGTCCTCAGGTAACACCCGGCCTCACCTGTCCTCAGGTAACACCCGGCCTCACCTGTCCTCAGGTAACACACGGCCTCACACGGCCTCACGGCCTCACCTGTCCTCAGGTAACACCCGGCCTCACCTGTCCTCAGGTAACACCCGGCCTCACCTGTCCTCAGGTAACACCCGGCCTCACCTGTCCTCAGGTAACACCCGGCCTCACCTGTCCTCAGGTAACACACGGCCTCACCTGTCCTCAGGTAACACACGGCCTCACCTGTCCTCACCTGTCCTCAGGTAACACACGGCCTCACCTGTCCTCAGGTAACACACGGCCTCACCTGTCCTCACCTGTCCTCAGGTAACACACGGCCTCACCTGTCCTCAGGTAACACACGGCCTCACCTGTCCTCACCTGTCCTCAGGTAACACACGGCCTCACCTGTCCTCAGGTAACACACGGCCTCACCTGTCCTCACCTGTCCTCAGGTAACACCCGGCCTCACCTGTCCTCAGGTAACACACGGCCTCACCTGTCCACAGGTAACACACGGCCTCACCTGTCCTCAGGTAACACACGGCCTCACCTGTCCTCAGGTAACACACGGCCTCACCTGTCCTCAGGTAACACACGGCCTCACCTGTCCTCAGGTAACACACGGCCTCACCTGTCCTCACGGCCTCACCTGTCCTCACCTGTCCTCAGGTAACACATGGCCTCACCTGTCCTCAGGTAACACACGGCCTCACCTGTCCTCAGGTAACACACGGCCTCACCTGTCCTCACCTGTCCTCAGGTAACACATGGCCTCACCTGTCCTCAGGTAACACACGGCCTCACCTGTCCTCAGGTAACACACGGTCGGTTTCGGTTCTGACTGAGCAGTAGGGAAACTCAGCTGTTTAACCTGTGGGGTCGGCTCAGCTGTGTCCCCCTCTCCCTCCCTCACCCCCCTGTCTCTCAGATGGCGTCCCTGTCGATGGGTCTGGGCGACGCTCTGACGCCTCTCCAGTCAGTAAGTGAACCTTCTTCTGTATCAGATGTTAAACTTTAGCTGGTCTTATGTGAGCCAGAACCGTCGGTCCACGCCAGGTCCTGGTTCTAGTGAGATGCTGTGGTTCTGACTTCCCGTTCTCGTCTGTTCAGGTAGCAGCTCAGCGTCAGAGAGCTCTGGCCATCATGTGTCGGGTTTACGTCGGTTCTATCTACTACGAGCTGGGAGAGGACACCATCAGACAGGCCTTCGCTCCGTTTGGACCAATCAAAAGCATCGACATGTCCTGGGACTCTGTCACCATGAAACACAAGGTCAGACGTCCACGCACTCTATGTTCTGTAGTCTCTGTCCGCACGGCCGTTACCTGCCGCTTACACGCGGCCGTGTCACAGCGGCAGCAGGAGGGTCAGGGATCAGGATCAGGGATCGAGGGTCAAGGATCAGGGGTCAAGGATCAGGGGTCAAGGATCAGGGGTCAGGGTCAGGGGTCAGGATCAGGGGTCAAGGATCAGGGGTCAAGGATCAGGGGTCAAGGATCAGGGGTCAGGATCAGGGGTCAGGATCAGGGGTCAAGGATCAGGGGTCAGGGGTCAAGGATCAGGGGTCAGGATCAGGGGTCAAGGATCAGGGGTCAGGATCAGGGGTCAGGATCAGGGGTCAGGGTCAGGGGTCAAGGATCAGGGGTCAGGATCAGGGGTCAAGGATCAGGGGTCAAGGGTCTCTTTATTGTTGTTCCGTCAGCAGTCACAGCTGTTAAACAAGCAGTATATAAATAAGATAAAAATATAAATTCTCCGTATTTGTACGCCGTCTTTTAGTCTTTGTGTCTAAGTGCTCAAACAGAAACTAACATTCACACTCTGGCGGAACAGCCGCCAGGGGCAATTCGGGGTTCAGTATCTTCCTAAGGACACTTTGACATGCAGCCTGGAGGAGCCGGGATTGAACCGCCCACTTCTGATTAACGGGCAACCCGCTCTACCTCCTGAGCCACAGCCGCCCAGCTATATTAACAGACCGCAGCTGAAATAAAAACAGCAACCTTTCAACCAGGGGAGTCCGGACGTCCCTCTCCAAACTCCTCCTGGGGGACCCCGAGGGTTTCCGAGCCGGGTCATATATAAACTCTCTCCGGCGTTTTGTGGTTCTACCCCGGAGTCTCCGACCAGCTGGACGTGCCCAGAAACCCTCCAAAGGAAGGAGGGTCCTGATCAGAACTCACTGACTTCCTGACACGACTCGCTGTGGTTATCTAAGGACCAGCTGGCCCAGACTCCTGCAAGACCCCCCACAGGGCTCCCAGGGGACAAGGAGGAATTTGGGCTTCAGTAGTTTGTCCAAGGAGCGACCGTCTCTATCTTCATATTGTCTCATCGTGGCGCCCATTGGCGATCTGAGCGCCAGGGGACGGAGTTACGTTACAGCAAGTCGGCGAAATGCCAGCATGGGAGAAACGGGCTCATTAGCTCGAGGGGAAACCACCAGTTCAGCGTTTCCCACAGAATGAAGTACGCAGATGACACGACCCTGGCGCCACACCTGACCGGCACCGATGCCCTGTCCCAATATCAACAGGCAACCTGGTCCAAACGTTCACTGATCATTCCCTGCAGCTCAGTACAACAAAAACAAAGGAACTGTGCTGCGGGAGCAAAGTTAAAACATCCTCCCATCTCTTCCAGCCCCTCAGTGTCCAGGGTCACTCGTTGAATCCATTCTCACCTTCAACATGGCACGACCTCCTCACTGTCAAACATAAAGCAAACTCTCCCGCATAACGAACCACTGCAGCAACATAATCAGCTCACCTTCTCCATCACCTCCTGATCACAGGAGACCCCTCTCACCTTCTCCATCACCTCCTGATCACAGGAGACCCCTCTCACCTTCTCCATCACCTCCCTGATCACAGGAGACCCCTCTCACCTTCTCCATCACCTCCTGATCACAGGAGACCCCTCTCACCTTCTCCATCACCTCCTGATCACAGGAGACCCCTCTCACCTTCTCCATCACCTCCTGATCACAGGAGACCCCTCTCACCTTCTCCATCACCTCCCTGATCACAGGAGACCCCTCTCACCTTCTCCATCACCTCCTGATCACAGGAGACCCCTCTCACCTTCTCCATCACCTCCTGATCACAGGAGACCCCTCTCACCTTCTCCATCACCTCTCTGATCACAGGAGACCCCTCTCACCTTCTCCATCACCTCCCTGATCACAGGAGACCCCTCTCACCTTCTCCATCACCACCCTGATCACAGGAGACCCCTCTCACCTTCTCCATCACCTCCCTGATCACAGGAGACCCCTCTCACCTTCTCCATCACCTCCCTGATCACAGGAGACCCCTCTCACCTTCTCCATCACCTCCCTGATCACAGGAGACCCCTCTCACCTTCTCCATCACCTCCCTGATCACAGGAGACCCCTCTCACCTTCTCCATCACCTCCCTGATCACAGGAGACCCCTCTCACCTTCTCCATCACCTCCCTGATCACAGGAGACCCCTCTCACCTTCTCCATCACTCTTTCCAGTTACTGCCATCAGGCAGTAGTTCCACTTGCCAGGAAAAACATTTATAAGAAATCTTTCATACCGTCTGCAATAACCACTCTGAACAAAAATAAATAGACATTGTACAGCTGCTGTTGTAATGTAGGTTTTAATTGTGTGTTTGATGTATATATTTAAATGAATTTTTTTAATGGAGCCTTGTCGAAGGAGAATTTATGTCACCTTTTTTTTGGGACAGAAAATAAAGCTATTTCTCTCTATCTCTAACTCTCTAACTCTCTAACTCTCTATCTCTAACTCTCTATCTCTCTCTCTAACTCTCTATCTCTCTCTCTCTAACTCTCTATCTCTAGCTCTCTATCTCTAACTCTCTCTCTATCTCTATCTCTCTCTATCTCTCTCTATATCTAACTCTCTATCTCTATCTCTCTCTATGTCTAACTCTCTATCTCTCTCTCTATCTCTAACTCTCTATCTCTAACTCTCTATCTCTCTCTCTATCTCGCTCTCTCTCTATCTCTAACTTTCTATCTCTATCTCTAACTCTCTATCTCTCTCTATCTCGCTTTCTCTCTGTCTCGCTCTCTGTCTCTCTCTGTCTCGCTCTCTATCTCTCTCTCTCTCTCTCTGTCTTGCTCTCTGTCTCTCTATCTCTGTCGCTCTCTATCTCTCTCTATCTATCTCTATCTCACTCTCTCTCTGTCTCTATCTCTCTCTATCTCTATATCTCTATCTCTCTGTCTCTCTCTATCTCTGTCTCTCTCTCTGTCTCTTTATCTCTCTCTATCTCTATATCTCTCTATCTCTATCTATCTCTCTGTCTCTCTCTATCTCTGTCTCTCTCTCTGTCTCTTTATCTCTCTCTATCTCTATATCTCTCTCTATCTCTATCTATCTATCTCTATCTCTGTCTCTCGCTCTGTCTCGCTCTCTATCTCTCTCTCTCTCTCTCTCTGTCTCGCTCTCTGTCTCTCTATCTCTGTCGCTCTCTATCTCTCTCTATCTCTATCTCGCTCTCTGTCTCGCTCTCTGTCTCTCTCTCTGTCTCTCTCTCTATCTCTATATCTCTCTCTCTATGTCTAACTCTCTATCTCTATCTCTCTCTATGTCTAACTCTCTATCTCTATCTCTCTCTATGTCTAACTCTCTATCTCTAACTCTCTATCTCTCTCTCTATCTCGCTCTCTCTCTATCTCTAACTTTCTATCTCTATCTCTAACTCTCTATCTCTCTATCTCGCTCTCTCTCTCTGTCTCGCTCTCTGTCGCTCTCTGTCTCGCTCTCTATCTCTCTCTCTCTCTCTCTGTCTTGCTCTCTGTCTCTCTATCTCTGTCGCTCTCTATCTCTCTCTATCTATCTCTATCTCGCTCTCTATCTCTCTCTTTATCTCTCTATATCTCTATATCTCTCTATCTCTATATCTCTCTATCTCTATCTATCTCTCTGTCTCTCTCTATCTCTATATCTCTCTCTCTCTATCTCTATCTATCTCTCTCTATCTCTGTCTCTCTCTCTGTCTCGCTCTGTCTCTCTCTCTGTCTCGCTCTCTCTCTCTCTCTCTCTGTCTCGCTCTCTGTCTCTCTATCTCTGTCGCTCTCTATCTCTCTCTATCTATCTCTATCTCGCTCTCGGTCTCGCTCTCTGTCTATCTCTATCTCTCTCTCTGTCTCTCTCTCTATCTCTATATCTCTCTCTCTCTATCTCTATCTATCGCTCTGTCTCTCTCTATCTCTATCTCTGTCTCTCTCTCTGTCTCGCTCTGTCTCTCTCTCTGTCTCTCTCTCTCTCTCTCTATCTCGCTCTCGGTCTCTCTATCTCTATCTATCTCTCTGTCTCTCTCTCTCTCTCTCTCGATAAATAAATCAGTGAATCAGTTTTTATGTCATCTTCGTTCTCCTTAATATCGGCACATGGAAAACCAATCGCTGATCATCCCCAACCGTCGATAGGCGGTCCAATCAGAAGATGCCGGGGATCGAACCGCCGACCTTCTGGTTAGTGGCTGTCGCCAGGCTACTGCAGGTGTCTCTCTTCCAGTTTCCCAGCAGCCATTGTGTATCTGCTCACAGCACCTCGCCGCAGAACACTCAGTCCGAGCAACAAAGACTTTTGAATAAGGATGCGCCGATCCGGCTTTCTCGGCCCCAAGTCCAGTACCTGGGCTTTGGGTTCCGATCCCTGCGTGAAACGAATCGGCTGCATTCCTCAGTAAGGCGGCGTCGGGCTCCGGCAGAGACCCCCCAGCTGCTGAGCGCTTGTCTTTAGCTCTCCCAGCATAATGTCCGGGCCCCCGGCGCACCGCTGGCGGAGTAAGTGAACAGATCGGCCCTCTTGTCATGATACCAGATGTGAGTCAGCATCGGGCCGGTATCCGGGATCAGGATCGGTGCATCCACCCGGGAGCAGCGTCGTGTTCAGGTCAGAGCGGCCCAGCGCACATAATAATGAAACCGTTATTCGAGTCCTGATCGGGCTCACGGGGAGGCACCGGATCAGGGATCAGGAAATGAGCTGTGAAATCTAAAACCAGGTTCAGGTTCTCTGCATTAAGTCTTCAGCCTGTCTCTGCAGGGTTTCGCCTTCGTAGAGTACGAGATGCCCGAGGCGGCTCAGCTGGCTCTGGAACAGATGAACTCTGTCGTCCTCGGGGGCAGAAACATCAAGGTGAGTCCAGATCCAGTTTAGACCGTCACAGACCAGTACAGACCCTTCAGGTCCGTCTGTGTTTCAGACTTCGCTCAGGTCTTTGTGTTTTTCTCTCCCGCTCGTCTTGCAGGTCGGAAGGCCCAGTAACATCGGCCAAGCTCAGCCAATCATCGACCAGCTGGCGGAGGAAGCGCGTGCCTTCAACAGGATCTACGTGGCGTCAGTCCACCCCGACCTCTCCGATGACGACATCAAGAGCGTGTTTGAGGCCTTCGGAAGGATCAAGTCCTGCATGTTGGCCCGCGAGCCGACAACCGGACGGCACAAAGGCTACGGCTTCATCGGTGAGCGCCGCGGGCGAGCTGCCCCTGATGTAACCTTCACAGCAGGCAACCACAAAGCTGAGGGGGCAGACGCGGTCCACAGAGGACACTTCGCTCAGACAATTACTGAGAAATTTAGCTTTAAAAAATAAATGGCTGCAGAGGATTTTTGCGATTAGCTGGTTTCAGCTACGTTTTTTTATCAGAAATGTTTCTAAGCGTTTGTCCTGAACCCAAACGTCTCCGCTGCCTCTTCTGGCTCCACCCAGCTTCTTTTTCTCAGGTGGGAACGTTTCGCTTTAATTCAGCGCGTATCAGAGACTCGCCACTTCAGGAATCCTCAGTACTCAAAGTCCGTTACGCCAAAGATGGCTGCGTGAAAGGTACCGAGCCGGGAAGGTCCGGTCTGATCCGCACGGTTTCTGTGTGAAAAGCCGCGGCACGCCGGAACAGGAGTGACGATTCCAGCTGCTGAAACGCCACTCGTGTCCCGGACGCTGCGTTTTGTTTGGTCAGCCACTGGATGCGTCTCGGCATCGGCTCGTTCTGACCCCGTGTGGTTCCGTCGCCTGCGGGCTGCATATCCACAAGGAGCCATCCCGACTAAGAGCGCTGGCCTCAGATTTAGTTGGTCTGGGCTTCAGTTCTGGCTTTTGTGTTTCTACGTAGTTAAATGTTTCTTTTTTGTTTAGTGCTGTTTTTCGGGAGTCTGCACAGGGGGTTTTATTTTGAAAACTGACCAGATGAGCTCAGGCAGCCGCGGCTAAAGAGGACACGGTGGAGGTAACCCCGGAAAGCCCGACCGCAGGTTTATCTCTGACATTCATATCGTGGGATCTGAGTGAAAGCGGCTTCGGGTCAGGTATTTGGGACCAACGGGACCAGGTCTCTCCTGCACCTTCTCTGCTCACCTGCAGAATCAGCAAGAAAACCTGAACCGGTTTGAGGGCTTTGCCCCAAAATCAGGTGTTTTCCCCGTAGGTTGTACTTCTGCCACACGTGCGTGGTCGACCCCGATGAGCCGCACGGCTTAATATGTTTCCCGGCTTGACGATTGGCCTTCCAGCCGGAGGGGCGGGATAACCGCCATCTTTGGCGTTGCGGACTTCCCCTATAGAGTAGGATCGAGGATTCTTTGAGTCTCCTCCACGAAACGTCTCGTGTGTCTCTGCCTGTGAGGTCATGACAACGCTCTTTCTGAGCTGGCGTAGGGAACATGGCTGCATATGTCTGAGTGCGCTGCGGCGCCCTCAGCTGGCGAGGATGACGAGTAACATCTGATGCTTTTGTCTCTAGAGTACGACAAGGCGCAGTCCTCTCAGGACGCCGTCGCATCCATGAACCTGTTTGACCTGGGGGGTCAGTACCTGCGGGTGGGGAAGGCCGTGACTCCGCCCGTACCCCTCCTCACGCCGCCGACCCCCGGAGGTCTCCCCGCCGCCGCCGCTGTGGCTGCCGCTGCTGCCACCGCCAAGATCACTGCCCAGGTAACTCCTGAAGCTCCGCCTACTGACGAACGGATCGATGAGTGAAGTCTAGAAGTACTGCAGTATAACATGGGGTAGTACGGAGTACTGCAGTACTGGATGTACTTTTCTGTAAAGAACAAGGTATTCTGGGCAGTATTTTATGCAGTAGTATTTATAATTATAGCAGTATTTGTTTTTCTGTTGAGTACTGCCTGATGTACTATGTAGTACTATTTTCTGCAGTATTTGATATGTTTTGTGGAATAGTGTACAATATTTTTACCGTATCTCATGTACTTGGAGCAGTACTGCAGTATTTTGTGTTTTCCACAGTGTTAAATGTGTTTTCTTCTGTGGTGCGTTCAGGAGGCGGTGGGAGCGTCGGTGCTCGGAGCTCTGGCCGGACCGGCGCTCCTCTCTCAGCAGCTGGGAGGACTTCCTCAGGCCGTCATGGCGGCTCAGGCTCCAGGTGTCATCACAGGTAGGAACTAGCTACAGCCCCGCCCACACACCTGTAAACCCCGCCCCAACAATGACGAGGCATCCTGCTGTCCAATCACATTAAAAACCTCCTTGCTGGAGCGTCGGCGTGCGTTTCCTTTAAGCCCCTCCCACAGCGTGCCACACACCTGCGTTCTGTTTAACGTAGAAGCTCGGCAGCAGAACGCCTCACAGAGAAGAACCTTCAGAACCTTTCAGGACTTTTTTTGAATCAGTTCTGCTGTTTAGTGAACGTTTGTTCTGTGCTGAGAACCCAGAGGTCCAGGTCCAGGTCCAGGTCCAGGTCCAGGTCCAGGCTGTCTGTCCCTCTTGATGTTGTGTTGCTTCGTCAGAAGCGGCTCCACTAATAGATTTTCTCTTTTATTGTCTTTTTTCTCTCTCTCTGTTTTTTCTCCCCCCCTCCTCCCCCCCCCCCCTCCCCCCCCCCCCCCCCCCCTCCTCCAACATTTGCTCCGACAGTAACCTCTAAGCCCCTCCCCTTTGCTGCACACTGACCAACCAAGTGAAGAGGACTGTTTCTAGCCCCTCCCATTAAACATAGCCCCACATTCCTATTGGCCAGTGAGTTTCAGTCATGTTGCACAACACACCTGTGTCAGTGGGTGGTGGGGGGGCGGGGCATAGTGGGGGTTGTTCCTCCTCCTCTGATCTTCTTAGCTTAAAGTCCAAAACGTGTGACAGCTTCCTGTTTCCTGTTTCTGCACCAATCGTGAGTATTAGTTTGCAAATTCACCGTGGTCGCTAGAGGAAGAACGCTAAGCGCTGTGCAGTCTGTGGGTGCGCTTGTTTCCCGCTACCTGTCGGCATGCGGGTGGCGTTAAAACCTTCTTTTGCTGCTGATGAAGATCAGAAGCATAAAGTCAGTTTAGACTCCACCCGTCTCCTGAGCAGGGCGGTGCAGGCGTGTTAAACCAGTGCACCCGGGCTACGCTGTGGTCGGTAGAAGAGGCCGGGGTTCGGTCCCAGTCCGGTGGAGAAGCTGCGATCCAGGATGAGGTTCTTCTTCTCCAGCAGCCTGGGGCGGCTCCCTGCGGCCGGAACGGCGCCGCCCGTCTGACCGTCCTGTCCTTCCTGCTTCCTGTCTGTTTCAGGTGTGACCCCGGTCCGCCCCGGCCTGCCTCAGGTGGGCTTGGTGAACCCGGTGCTGGCCACGGCCCCGGCGTCCGCGGCCTCGTTCAGCTCTGAACTGAAGAGGAAAGAGGAGGAGGAGCGTCAGCAGGAGGCGCAGCAGGACGGAGCCACGGAGCCGCTCAGCGAGCAGGAGCACATGAGCATCAGCGGCAGCAGCGCCAGGCACATGGTGATGAGGAAGCTGCTCCGCAAGCAGGAGGTACGCTTCCAGTCCTGGTCCAGGAGCAGGGCGCTGAGGACCAGGAGGAGGGTCCAACTCCTCCTGGTTGATGTGGAACTGGTTGGTCGTCATTTAGAGCTAGACCCAGACCCCACAGACCCAGACCCCACAGACCTAGACCCCACAGACCCAGACCCCACAGAACCCACAGACCCAGACCCCACAGACCTAGACCCCACAGACCCAGACCCCACAGAACCCACAGACCCAGACCCCACAGACCCAGACCCCACAGACCCAGACCCCACAGACCTAGACCCCACAGACCCAGACCCCACAGAACCCACAGACCCAGACCCCACAGACCCAGACCCCACAGAACCCACAGACCCAGACCCCACAGACCCAGACCCCACAGACCCCACAGACCCAGACCCCACAGACCCAGACCCCACAGACCCCACAGACCCAGACCCCACAGACCCAGACCCCACAGACCCAGACCCCACAGAACCCACAGACCCAGACCCCACAGAACCCACAGACCCAGACCCCACAGAACCCACAGACCCAGACCCCACAGAACCCACAGACCCAGACCCCACAGACCCAGACCCCACAGAACCCACAGACCCAGACCCCACAGACCCAGACCCCACAGAACCCACAGACCCAGACCCCACAGACCCAGACCCCACAGACCCAGACCCCACAGACCCAGACTCCACAGACCCAGACCCCACAGACCCCACAGACCCAGACCCCACAGAACCCACAGACCCAGACTCCACAGACCCAGACTCCACAGACCCAGACTCCACAGACCCAGACCCCACAGACCCAGACCCCACAGACCCAGACCCCACAGACCCAGACTCCACAGACCCAGACTCCACAGTCCCAGACTCCACAGACCCAGACTCCACAGACTCCACAGACCCAGACTCCCCAGACTCCACAGACCCAGACTCCCCAGACTCCACAGACCCAGACTCCACAGACTCCACAGACCCAGACTCCACAGACCCAGACTCCACAGACCCAGACTCCACAGACTCCACAGACCCAGACTCCACAGACCCAGACTCCCCAGACTCCACAGACTCCCCAGACCCAGACTCCCCAGACCCCACAGACCCCACAGACCCAGACCCCACAGACCCAGAACCCACAGACCCCACAGACTCCACAGACCCAGACTCCACAGACTCCACAGACCCAGACCCCACAGACCCCACAGACCCAGACCCCACAGACCCAGACCCCACAGACCCAGAACCCACAGACCCAGACCCCACAGACCCAGACCCCACAGATCTATAAGCTTTATCAAAGAGGAAAGTCTTAAGCCTACTCTTAAATGTGGAGATGGTGTCTGCCTCCTGAACCCAAACTGGAACCTGGTTCCACAGGAGAGGAGCTTGATAGCTGAACGCTCTGGCTCCTAGTCTACTTTTGGAGACTCTAGGAACCACAAGTAACCCTGCATTCTGGGAGCGCAGTGCTCTGGTGGGGTAGTAAGGTACTATGAGCTCTTTAAGATAAGATGGTGCCTGACCATTAAGAGCTTTGTAGGTAAGAAGAATGATTTTAAATTCTATTCTGGATTTTACTGGAAGCCAATGCAGAGAAGCTGAAACAGGAGAAATATGATCTCTTTTCCTGGTTCCTGTCAGAACACGTGCTGCAGCATTCTGGATCAGCTGAAGAGTCTTAATGGACTTTTTCGAGCAGCCTGATAATAAGGAATTGCAGTAATCCAGCCTAGAAGTAACAAATGCATGGACTAGTTTTTCTGCAGCATTTTTAGACAGGATGTTCCTGATGTTCGCAATATTACGTAGGTGAAAAAAGGCGGTCCTTGAAATCTGAAGGCAAACATGATTAACTGAATTAAATATCTGAAAGTAAGTGAAGTGAACCGGCCTCCTGCAGCAGGCTGGAATGTAAAGAATCTGTTTTAGATCATGAAGCAGAATAACTGACCCGCTGTCTCTGACTCTGCCCTCAGTCCACCGTGATGGTCCTGAGGAACATGGTCGGTCCTGACGACATCGATGACGACCTGGAGGGCGAGGTCACCGAGGAGTGCGGGAAGTTCGGCCGGGTGAAGCGCGTGGTCATCTACCAGGAGCGTCAGGGCGAGGAGGACGACGCCGACGTCATCGTTAAGATCTTCGTGGAGTTTTCGGAGGCGGCCGAGATGAACCGGGCCATCCAGGCGCTCAACCACCGCTGGTTTGGAGGACGCAAGGTGGTCGCAGAGGTGTACGACCAGGAGCGCTTCGACAGCAGCGACCTGACGGCGTAGAACACACACGCTCCTCTTTCTATTTTTTTATCGCTGTTTGTCTCCAGAGAAACTTTTCTGTGCTGCGTTCAAAGGACCCGACCGCTGTTTGTCACGTTTTAACAACACGTCGCTCCTGCTGACCGTTTCCCAGATCAGCGCCGTTTATAACAGGCTGGACGCCGCTGGGGCGAAGGCTTCAGGGACCCTGGGACATCTGAGTCCTGTGAAACGCTCAGCAGGAGTGAAACATGAACGTGACTGCAGTGCAGATGTTCCCAGCAGAAACATCCGGTGTACGTCCTCTGACTGATGTTCCTGAACGCACCACACCATCACCTGTCATTGTAGTGTGGATCCACAGAGAAATAAACACCTGGATGAAGGTGTGTTCAGGTGTCAGACGCAGAAATGTGTGAATAAAACTCTTTCTTTGTTTTTTTACAGGCAGTGTGTTTTTTTTTCTTCTGGTTGTCTTCAGCTTGAGCTGCCCTGTGATTGGCTGACAGTTTTAAAATCGCAATAAAAGTCACTGGTTGATTGTGTTCATGCCAGCAGGTCATCGCGCAGGTCACCATCAGACGCCATCCGGGTGGCTTGTGGAAGCTACCGGAACTCAAAAATCTGCAGAGACTCAGGATCCACTTCCAGCAAGACTTGTGCAGCTCGCCGGCTGAGAAGGTGCAGCTCGCCGGCTGAAGAGCTGAGAAGGTGCAGCTCGCCGGCTGAAAAAGGTGGAGCTCGCCGGCTGAAAAAGGTGGAGCTCGCCGGCTGAAGAGCTGAGAAGGTGCAGCTCGCCGGCTGAAAAAGGTGCAGCTCGCCGGCTGAAGAGCTGAGAAGGTGCAGCTCGCCGGCTGAAGAAGGTGCAGCTCGCCGGCTGAAGAGCTGAGAAGGTGCAGCTCGCCGGCTGAAGAAGGTGGAGCTCGCCGGCTGAAGAGCTGAGAAGGTGCAGCTCGCCGGCTGAAGAGCTGAGAAGGTGCAGCTCGCCGGCTGAAAAGGTGGAGCTCGCCGGCTGAAGAAGGTGCAGCTCGCCGGCTGAAGAGCTGAGAAGGTGCAGCTCGCCGGCTGAAGAGCTGAGAAGGTGCAGCTCGCCGGCTGAAAAAGGTGGAGCTCGCCGGCTGAAGAAGGTGCAGCTCGCCGGCTGAAGAGCTGAGAAGGTGCAGCTCGCCGGCTGAAGAGCTGAGAAGGTGCAGCTCGCCGGCTGAAAAAGGTGGAGCTCGCCGGCTGAAGAAGGTGCAGCTCGCCGGCTGAAGAGCTGAGAAGGTGCAGCTCGCCGGCTGAAGAAGGTGCAGCTCGCCGGCTGAAGAGCTGAGAAGGTGCAGCTCGCCGGCTGAAAAAGGTGCAGCTCGCCGGCTGAAGAAGGTGCAGCTCGCCGGCTGAAGAAGGTGGAGCTCGCCGGCTGAAGAAGGTGGAGCTCGCCGGCTGAAGAAGGTGCAGCTCGCCGGCTGAAGAAGGTGGAGCTCGCCGGCTGAAGAGCTGAGAAGGTGCAGCTCGCCGGCTGAAGAGCTGAGAAGGTGCAGCTCGCCGGCTGGAGAAGGTGCAGCTCGCCGGCTGAAGAAGGTGCAGCTCGCCGGCTGAAGAAGGTGCAGCTCGCCGGCTGAAGAAGGTGCAGCTCGCCGGCTGAAGAGCTGAGAAGGTGCAGCTCGCCGGCTGAAGAAGGTGCAGCTCGCCGGGTGACAGGACGGGTACGATGGAGGACGGGGCGCCTCCGGTTATGCATGCGGTAACTCAGATGTTCTTCCGGAGAGGTTCCCCGTTTAAACTGACATCTTAGACGTTCTCTTTTGAAACGAGAGAGTTCGTAAGGTTTTTCTGATAAGCTGTAATTAATCAGCTGCTCTCAGCTCGAGGGTCGAAGGTGAAAACCAGTTTCAGTCTGTGCTTCTCATTAGATCCGTCACATTTAAAAGTCCAGCTCTCCCAGAGACTCTGTTCTCCAACATCCAGCAGGCAGAACATGAAGAACGTGAAGTCATAAAAACACAGGATGGCTTTAGGTTTATAATCTGAAGACAGTTTGTTCCAAGAAGCTAACATCCTTTGGGTTTTTACTTTCTATTTGGGAGTCTTCTTTTAATCCTACGTTCTCTTATGTTCCGCTCAGTACGAGGTTCTGTAAAAAGAAAGTCGACCTTCCTGTTTTGTCAAGAACACGGTTTTTCTTTAGGGCGCTCGCTACATGGAGGGGAGCCTCGGACGAGAAGTGTGAGATGCTGGAGGTCATTTCTGTTTCTGGAAACACGTGAAAGTCATCCTGCACACCACATCCTCCCTCTCATCCCCAAACCATAACTGATCCTCTCACACCTCCAGCCTGCCCGGACGCTCGCTTCGTACCTCTGACCGATTCCTTATTCACCTGAAGATGCATTTTCAAAACCAGTTTACGTTTTCTACTTAATGATTTGGTTAAATGTAGTTAATATTATTTATTATTTATTACCACGAGGTTCAAAAATGATGATGTCCATGTTAATTCAACGTTTACACATCACAAAGAAAACACCTGGAATAATCCAGATGACTGGAAGAAAGCAGGCTTCAGGCTCTGCACCACCTGTAGCTGCAGGGTGATGGAGCCTGAGGGCACCACCTGCAGACGGCGCTCAGGGCCGAAAACTCTTCTGATTTTCATCCATCCATCCATCGTCAACCGCTTATCCTGCGTACAGGGTCGCGGGGGGGCTGGAGCCAATCCCAGCTGACATCGGGCGCAAGGCGGGGTTCACCCTGGACAGGTCCTTCTGCTTTTCAATCTGTATGTATTCTAAAGACGCTTAATGAAACATAAAGCGACATCATGAACAAAACCGCTCACACAGGAAGTTACAGGGATTATTACCAGTTTCACCAAGACCTCAACGGAACGGGACATTCAGAAGTGAAGTGAAACCTTCGCCCTGAACTCACACTGATAGACGGGTATGTAGATAGATAGATAGATCCTGTAGTGTGTGTGTGTGTGTGTGT